CCTCTTCTCCTAAAATTCCTACACCACCCCAATCACCAACACAGGAGGTCCCACTTTCTGTTCCTATAACCATCCCTCCCACTACAACAGAACCAACCATTCCCTTCTCTGTTACTCAACCTTCATCCTCTATCCCCACACCAATTATCACCGAATCAGTTACTATCACCTCTTCCCAACCACCAGTAACAGTCAATGTATCTGATACAGGGGCTGCTACTGTGGTTGAAACCCCGTCATCAACATTCCCCCATCTCCTTCTCCATCCTCCAACTCCGGTGCTACCTTGGGCGGTGATGATGAAGAGTACGACTCTCTTTATTATAGCCCCTACCGGATTCCCACAGACACTGATGCCGATACCCCTGTTACTAGTCAGCAGATTCAGGAAATTCACGACAAACTTGATAGTCTGCTGGCTGATAATAAAGCCTACGGGGGTGTGTGCTAAAAGCCTTCATTGAGTCTGCGATCAAGACGTACACTGACGCTCTGGATCGTTCAACTGATCCATCGACAACTCAGCTGCTTCATGCTCCAAAGCCACCAAGGAAGTTTCTGAGGTTGTTCACACAACTCAGATCTTTCTTGATTCTCTGAAAGCACATGCTGATTCCAGTGCGGCCAAGTTTCAGACGTCCGTAAGACTCTTTCTCGGCTACCCTTCAGGGTGAAACCTCCAAATTTGAGGCTCTGCGTGCTGACCTCAAAACTGAATCCACATCATTTCTCAAATCTTTGGATTCACGTTTTGCTTCTCTGGCAGCAGAGAGCACCCTAAAGGAGGATCTCGTCAAGCATCACGCAACTATCGACCTACAAAAGATACAACTCGCCCAGGCACACCAAGAAATTTCTTTGCTAAAGAATCAGCGGGCAGTTCTTCAAGGTTGCGTTGGTGATGTCAAGAATATGTTAACAAATGTTCTTGACACTCATGATCCCTTCCTTACCCTTACTATCAGACAGCATCTCCAGGCTAAACTCCTTCCTGCTATTAACATCTTGAGTGAAATGAAGGGTGTCTCGGAGAAGCTTGTTCTTCCGCGACAAGGGGGAGAGGAAGGTGTGTCAAAGACAGAACCGAAGGTTAATGTAGCTTCGGGTTCTGGGAAACAAGTCCTTGTTGAGAGCGAGTCAGATTCAGATGAAACTATCACTGAAGCTCTTCAACGAAAGAAAAGGGACAAAGAGCTAGATGAAACTCTTAAGATAGCTCGAGAGGCCGAGGCTAGGGAAAGAAAGATCAAGGAGGATGAGGATGCCATACAAGCCAAGAAGACTCTGTTCCCAGAATGGGACAGAGACACACTCATCACTCAAGCGATTGAGTTTCCCTCCATATATTGGTTGGAACCGATTGCATCTTTCGAGTGTGAAAATACAAAAGACTCGCAGTTTGACATGCCAATCACGCGAAAAGCTTTTACATTTCATTGCTTTGATGTCACTGCTGATGTCCCTCATCCGAACTTGAAGGTTGACAGAGAGTTAATAGATTTCTATCTGAAGTATGGTCAACCGCAGTACTTGACATGGAGTGCTCAGAAGATTATTAAAGTCAAGGTACTGAAACCGACACAGGCTGGGAAATTTGTGAACGTTAATTTCAAAATCAACAGAGGAACGGCCAACACAGAACATCTCATTTCTCTGGCAAAATCTTCCCAGTCTAAATCCGCATGATTGGATTCTGCTATACAACATTCTTCTCTCCAATCATAGAGAGTATGAACCGATTCTTAAACATCTTAAAAGAATGTTGGCTTCCTACATCCATGAGCTCGCCACTATGGATCAGGAAATAGCAAAGATTATGAACAAGAAACCGACCGTCAAGCCTACTTCCAAGACAGGAGATGTTCATAAAATGAAGGTAGGGCAAATTGATTCTTCCAATCTGACGGTCATGTTCACCAGAGGCGACAAGCATAAGTTTCTGTTTGCTTTGGTAGACAAACATCTGTTTTCAACAGATTGTCTGGAGCATATTATAAATATCATTCACCGATGCAAGCAGAACTCAACAGCAGACAAGAAGAACTTCACTGATATGCTTCGTTGGTATATCACCTTCAGGCATCACATTCTGGCTATAATACCGAGGATTTTTTAGACGGTAAAGAAGCCTTCTACTGTCAAAAGAGAATGAAGATTTTGTACCAAAGACGCAAAGGGGGAGATTGTTGAAGATAATAGAATTGCGTCTTGGGCCCTTTTGTTTTTACAACCGGATTGGGATTGTCAATCCGTGTTCAGCTAGATTAGCCTTATTTTTATTAGAAAAACTGTTAGGGTTTCATTATAAATATATGCATGCATGTATGCGTATAGTAACTGTCGTCATTCTCATTGAATATTGTAAACCCTAAAATCCTCTACAGTTGACGTTCTTCATCGAGCTCTTCTGAGGATTGTTTATTGAATCATTCGACACCCTTTTGATTCATTAGCTTGTTCTTAATTGTTTACTTAGTCATTCATTTACCTGTTTCATTGATCTAATCGATCTTTAAGTTTGTTTTTTAAACTCATCACAACTCTTCAAGATGCTGATTGGATCAAAGCCATGCAAGAAGAACTGAATGAGTTTGAAAGGCACAAAGTTTGGACTGTTGTCCCAAGACCATCCGACAAGACTATCACTGGAACTCGCTGGGTCTATTGTAACAAGGTTGATAAAGATGTAATCATCACTCGCAACAAGGCAAGGCTTGTAGCTCAAGGGTTTACTCAAATTGAATCCATCGACTACGGGGAAACTTTTGCTCCAGTTGCTCGCATTGAAGCTATCAGACTGTTTCTCGCATACGCATCCTACATGAACTTCATTGTCTATCGGATGGATGTGAAAACAGTATTCCTTCATGGTGTGTTAGAAGAAGAAGTATTCCTAAATCAGCCCCCAGGCTTTGTGGACAAAGATCATCCTGATTACGTGTACTGGTTAGACAAAGCTGTTTATGGACTGAAACAAGCTCCCAGGGCTTGGTATGAGACGCTGACATCGTATCTGCTTGAAAATGGATACAGACGAGGAGCAATTGATAATACTCTCTTCATCAAAAACAAAGGCTCAGACATGGTTCTTGTTCAAATTTATGTCGATGACATCATTTTTGGCTCTCCAAATGAGACACTGAGCAAGGAATTTGCAGAGATCATGTCTCAAAGGTTCGAAATGAGCATGATGGGGAAGATGACCTTTTTCTTAGGTCTTGAAGTTCAGCAACAAAAGACAGGTATTTCCATTTGTCAAAGTAAATATATATCTGACCTGCTTGTTAAGTATTCTCTCAGTGACTGCAAACCAGCCTCTACTCCAGTGTCTAAGACTGATAAGATACACGCTGATCCAACTGGAACTGATGTCAATCACTCTCTGTATCGAGGAATGATTGGATCCCTCTTATATCTCACAGCAAGTCGTCCTGATATTATGTTTGGAACCATTCTCTGTGCTCGATTCCAAGCTAATCCAAAAGAATCTCACCTCATGGCTGTCAAACGTATTTTTCAATACTTGAAGGGAACTCAAAACCTTGCTTTGTGGTATCCTCGTGACTCAACATTTGAACTTTATGGATACACTGACTCAGATTATGCTGGATGCAATTTAGACAAAAAGAGTACATCTGGTGGATGTCACTTCCTTGGGAATCGTCTCATCAGCTGGTCTAGCAAGAAACAAACATCAGTAGCCATCTCAACTGCAGAAGCTGAGTATGTTGCCATTGGGAGATGTTGTGCTCAGCTCTTCTGGATTCAAAATCAGCTTCTCGACTATGGGTTCAAGTTCTCAAAGACTCCCATATATTGTGACAACACCAGTGCCATTCAGATCACACAAAATCCTGTTCAGCACTCAAAGACAAAGCATATTGAAATCAGACATCACTTCATCAGACATAATGTTGAAAAAGGAAAAGTTGTTCTTGAACATGTCAAGACTTCGGAGCAACTTGCTGATATCTTCACAAAGGCACTGGATTCTCAATCAACTGCTTACATTATCGAAGAACTGGGAATGATTTCCTTGTAATTAATTTTGATGTTTAATTGTGCTAATGTTTGATATTGTCTTATAAGCTGATGTACATTGTGCTGATGATGACATACTGATGATATTTGCTACTGAGCACTTTGGTTTGATTTCTTATCTTTATCTCTTCTTCAAGTCTTCAAAACAAAAGTTGAATGATTCACTGTATTAAACCATACACTGATACTTGAAACTCTTTGCCGATGGTTAGATCAAAACACCAAGATTTATCACACGCAACTACCCCTTCTCACCAATCTTACACTGATTCTGTGATTCAGTGTGCCAAAACACACACTGATGAGAATCTAAAATCTTTGTCGATGGTTAGATCAAAACACCAAGATCTATCACACGCAACTACCCCTTCTTACCAATCTTACACGGATTCTGTGATTCAGTGTGCCAAAACACACGCTGATGAGAGTCTAAAAATCTTTGCCGATGGTTAGACCAAAACACCAAGGTTTATCACACGCAACAATCCATTCTTTACCCTCCTCTTATTCAGTGTCTAATGATTCAGTAAGATAAACCACTCACTGATGAAGTCACAACACTCTGTGCCGATGGTTAGATAATGTAACTAGTATCTATCACACGCACCAATCTCTTTGCTAGCCCCGATTAAGCAAGTTGTACATTGAATTGACGGAGAAATATTCTCAACACGTAACTTTTGTGACACTGAGCTCAGCGCTTCCGCAAACACTGATTGACGTTTCACCTTCAGTCAACGGCTCTTTTATCCAACGGCTATTTTCTACTCTGACAGGTTGTTACGATGTGCCGTTATTCTTAATGAAGATAATCATCACCTTTTTAATAAAGATAATTATTACCTTTTTAAAAACCCCCTTTTCATTCCATATTTAAACCTCTTTCTCCCTTGGTTTAATTTTTCCTTCCAAAACCTTGAACTTTTCTCAAAAACCCTAGAATTCTCAAATACTCTCCAATGGCGGCATCTCTGTTCACATACTCCTCAACCTCTCGAAGATTCGTTCCTGCCCCAAACTCACCTCCACTTCCAATTCACATCAAGGCAACCAATGTCGTCTTCAACCCTGACATTCCAGAGGTTCATCGAGGTCTTGGACTCGATGATTTCGTCAATTTCTTGGCTTCTTGCCGCCTTCAATATGCAATCAGTGATGTACCGTCCGAGTTCTTCCCTGAACAAGTATGTAAGTTTTACTATACTGCAACAGTTAATGAAGAAAACAATGCCATCACCGGAACCATTGGTCATGGCAGACACTCTGTCTTCATCACCGCAGAACTACTCAGTGCTGCTTTAAGGTTATCAATTTTCGAACCCTTTTCTGAACCTCCAACTATTGAAAGATGTAAACGAATATTTGATCAACTGGGCTATGATCATTCAAAGGCTGGTACTCGATCAGCTCTTATTTTGCGTCAGTGCATGACCCCAGGCTGGAAGTTTTTCACTGGTGCTTTATGCAAGTGTGTGGGTCACAAGTCTTGCAGTGGTGATCAATTGAGCAATTATGAGCAACAAGTCGTCTGCTCCCTTCTTCTCAACAAAAGATTAGATTATGGGGCACTATTCTTTGATCAGCTTGTTCAGCTTCTACGTGCAAATGTGCGTGCTGATCATGTTCCCTTTCCACGCTGGATTGCCCTGGTGTTCGACAAATTCTTCGCTGCTGACTACTTTTCTCACTCTGGGAATCCAATCCAATGCCCTCGAATGTCCGTTTGTATGTATCAGGATGATCCTTTGGATACTGACATTGGAATCTCCGATAGGATGAGAGAATGGATTGCCAATCCATACACTATGCCTTCTCTCACCGCTGACACTGATGAAGGAGGTGCTGATGGTAATCGTATGGATCGTGCTGATCAAGAGGTGGAACATCATGATGGTGGCCATTTCTCCCCTCAACTTTCTCATCACCTCATCTCGGACACTGGCAAAGCCTCCTCAGCACCACAGGATTCCATGCCTCTGGGGAGCAACCATCACAGGGGGAGCATCAGTCTCAGGGGGAGCATCCATCACCAGCAGCTCACTACTTCTCTCCAAGGATGCAACCTAGCTCTCCAGTTGCCCCAGGTACCTCAATGGTTCAAATTCCCGCTTCAGCATTTTCTGAACTGATGTCACTGACTCGGGACATGAGTCAGCGTCTGCTTCGTATTGAGGCTGATGTTCAACAAATCAAGGAGGTTCTCTTACTTACTCCTCCCTCTAGTCCCAAATCTAATGATGCTCAAAAAGGGGGAGATACTGATGATGATGCTGATGTTGATGATCATGCTGATGGTTAACCAAATGCTCATACTGATGGTGAACCAAATGAGAAAGACACAGAACCTGCTGACAACACTATCTTTCAGCATGAATCACCCAACCCCATTCCTGAATCTGATTCTGCAGGGCATAATAGTCCAGCAGCTACTGAAAAATTGTTTGAAGACAGTGAGCATGATGAAGAGCATGATGAACCTGATGATGAATGTCAAATTCTTGACATGAACTTCATTGATCCTCTCATTCCAGTTCAGCAAGAAAGCTTAGATGGCCTTGAAGAATCTCATCCGATATTAGCCGATCCTATTGCTGATCCCATCATTCCGGTCCAAGGAGAGGATTCGGACATTGCCAGTGAAGAATCTCATCCGCTGTCTCGAAAGCGGAAGGTAGCAGATACTGACTTGGATCATTCTCAAACTGATACTTCTTCAACTGTGAAGAAACCCAAGTCCATTGTCAGTATTTCAAACCTTGCCACTGAATGGAACATGTCCCCTGATCAAGTCAAGCAAATTCTTGATGAAGCCAATCGAGCTCAGCTTCTAAAGAACATTGCTCAAGCTGATGAATCTCTTATTCAGCACAAACTTCAGGCCAAGGGATCTTTTGAAGCTCAGATGCTAAAGTTCCTGGAATTTCAGTCCAAGGCTCAGTCTTCTCAACCTCCTCCTAGCTCTAGCAAGCCTAAGACTGACAGTGTTCTTGACCGGATTGATCGAAAGAGATTTAAAGATGTTTTTAATCGGCAAATGTGTGGAGATAAGATCATCAAAGTCAAAGCTTCTAAACCTCGAAACGAGAAAATCCTTACGTTGCTGATCACTCGTCAAGGTCCTCAGCACTCATATACTGAAGTTGTCAAGAGGGATGAGCTGATTAGATATGGGTATTCGGAATGGATGGAACTGCTCGATCTTGCATCCAAGCAAACCTCAGCTCACTCGTCAAGGTCCTCAGCACTCATATACTGAAGTTGTTCCTAAAGAACGACCTCAGCATCAAGGCCAAAGGTCGTCAGTTCCTAGATCTCGAAGAACCAAGTTTCATGTAGATGGTGAAGATGTATTGGTTCTAGACTTTGGTGCTGGTGTAATTAACAATTCACTTCCTCTAGGTGTTGATCCGGTTCAGCATCAATTCATCTCAGCTCCTGAACACAGGATGTTCTATCTAGACAAAAATAGGAGGATGTGCTTTCAACGAACTACTGAGATCCCAATGGCTCCAGCCACTCACCTTGTTGGCTTAAGGAAAATGTGCATGAGTCATCAAGATCTATCTGGAGAATTTCACATTCTTATTTCCATGGAGGTGCTGAACATAAGACAGGAATTGCTGGACAGTCCTTACTGGCCAGTTAAAATTGAAGCTGAAGCTGAGTATGAAGAATTTCTTTCCAGAGGTGTCTTTATTTAGTTTGTTTTGAACATCATCATATTGGGGGAGATTGTAAGGTCAAACCTTCAAATATGATTATGTTTAAAACAGACTCAGCGTCAGCACATGTCTCAGCATCAGCACCAGCGTGTAATTGCTCAGTTTGTATTAGTTTAGTTTATTCAGTGCATTGTAACAAATCATGTATTTATTCTGTTTCCTTAGTTATCTTGATTTATTAGCTAGCGTATCCCTGAATTGTAGGGATTGTCTAGAATAACAGTATATATTATCTTGTACAGGTTTGTGAATCGCTACGCCTTTCACAAACCCTAATCGTCGCTTTGTGCACACGATAATCTCTTTGTGAGATTATCTTTCTTAGTGAAAGTTTTTCTTCGTGAATTTCTCTTGTTCTTATTTATTGTCTTTGTTTGATATATCGATTGATCTAAAGGCCTCTTCATTATGTAAATCAGACACTCTGCTTATACTATATTTATGTGTGTCGGTTTTGGCACTACAAAAACTAGACTTTTCATAACAAGTGAACATTTTCAATAGGAATTACTATACTAACGAAATGCACTTTTAGAAAACTATAACAGGTATAGTTTTATGAGTATACTACGAACTTTTACATACATGGAAATACTATTTCAAGAAGCTACTTTCATATACAAGAACAAACGAACATTTTCACACGTAAATATGTTTTATACTAAGTTTTGTGAGACATTAAACTTCACGTACGCTCGAGTACACATTTCGAGTCCTGTATTATATACCAGAATCCCTTGGAGGGGGAGCATGGTGTTTGTGTATTGATCGATACGGGATTGACAACCCCGCACCCTCAGTGTTAGCTACAGTACACCATTTAGGGTGACAAACGTCAGAACATTCGAACACCTGAAGAACGTTGTGTATAGGCATTCCTTGTCAATAGCATGGTTATAAAACTCACATAGAGTATTAAAAACACATTGATTTACGGGGGTTTTCAGATGTAATGGAGGTTTTATACGAAAATAAATTCATTTATTTTATGCATGAAAAACCCAATTGTGATATAAGTTTGGAACTTCTAACCACTACTCATAGATGGGAAAACATCAACTTTTTAACATATATTGGTCTTGATTTAAGGCTACGCTTATACCAGTAGGAAATATGGGATTTTCTAGAGACTAACACAAAAACAAACCATTTCATTTTCATACAAATACTATCATTCAATGCTTATGAAACTCACCAGCTTAAATGCTGATCTACTCTTTCAAAACTACTTGTATATCCCAGGGACTCAGTAATTACAGGTACTAAACAGCTTTTGAAGAAGGAACGCTGCGGCACTAGTTTAAATTCATACTTTGGCATCATATTGTAATTGGTTTTGAACATGTACTCTTTTAAACAATGTAAACTTTCAATTATATATATGATGGTTGTATTGCTTTCTTTACTATGTATTCATTTGTTACGTTACCACATGAAGTCATCCACCCCCGAACGTTTCCGCCGTTCCGGTTTGGGGGTGTGACATAGTGTATGCCGCAAATGCGGCCAAGAGGGGCATTTTGCGAGGGATTGTCATCAGATGGCCCCGGTTCAGGAAATGAGGATCTGCTACCCCTGTCACCAGGTTAGTCACAAGAAGACCAACTACCCACAACTTGTAGCCATGCTGGCTCAGGCTCCAGTGCTGGCTACATTGAGGATTGCTGACGGGAGTAAGGATCGAGTCGTGCCCCCGAGGGCCCAGGGGCACGCTTTCCAGCATACAACAGAGGGGGCTAAAGCAGCACCAGATGTGGTTGTTGGTATGTTTCTAGCCCTTATCTTATAGATTATATATGTTGTATGCTTATATGTTGTACCTGTGATTAGGTATGTTTTTAGTAAACACCTTACCTGCTCTGGTATTATTTGAGAGTTTTTAACCAAAATGGAGTTGTTGAAAAAACATATTTACCAATGTAGTATAGTTTGGAAAATATTTACCAAACTAGTGTTTTTCTTCAATTTTTTATTTATTTTTCAATATTTCTTATTGTTTTTTATTTATTTATAATATATTGACTTTTTTACTTTTTTATTTCACTCTTTTTACTATTTATTGTTTTTAAATATCAGTTTATTTTTTATTTTATTTTTGTTTGAGTTTTTTTGTTTTTTTTTTTGTTTTTTTTTTTTTACTTTTATTTAATATACATTTAACATAAATATCTAACACACAAAAGAGCTTTATTATTTTGGTTCATTATATGCTTATTTGATTAATTTTTTTTTCTACCGTGTATTAGTTTGGTTCATTATATTACCATAACTTGCAGGTTTCTTACCCAACTATTCACTTTTAAAAATTTGCTCAAAAGTAATAGTTGTGTTATCAAATTTTGTCGGTATGTTTTTTTTTGCAATTTTGTTTTCACATGTTTTGAAATAAAAGTTTTTATTGATTTGGAAATTTGTTTTTTAAATGTTTTTTACATATTTAGTTTTATGCATGTATTTTATTATGATATCTTTCGTTTTACAAATTAGATTTATTTTAAAATTTGTTTTCTATGTTTTTACATATTTGTTTTTATGTAAAGACATAAAAAATATGTAAACTTTTGCTTTTTATATTTTATTTTCAATGTAAAGAAACTCAAAAAGCATGCAAATATTGTATAAATAAAGACATGAGAAAAAATTTCTTTCTATAAAGGATTAAGTTTTTAAAATATATGTATAAATAAATGGTAAGGAAATTAAAGTAAACCCATAATCACTATATAAACAGTGGAAAAAAAATTACTCAAATAGGCATATAATGAACGAAAATAATAAAGCTCTTTTGTGTGTTAGATGTTTATGTTAAATGTATATTAAAAAAAGTCTGAAATGAAAATAAAATAAAAAATAAAATAATATTTAATAACAAAAAATAGTAAAAAAACTAAAATAAAAAAAAGTAAAACAGCGGATATTTTAAATAAATAGAAAAACAATAAGAAATATTGAAAAATAAATTAAAAATGAAGAAAAACACTAGTTTGGTAAATATTTTTCAAACTATACTAGAGTGGTAAATATTTTTTTCAATAACCTCATTTTTGTTAAAAACTCTATTATTTGACTCGGGGGCGAGTCGTTCGTTTGTTTTTCAGACTTTTAGTAGGGAGTTCAGGTTGTCGGTGGGAGAGTTAGAGTGTCCGTTACGAGTCTCCATCGCCAACGAACACGAAATTTCTGCTTCTTTGGTCTATCGGGATAGTATATTGGAGATTTTCGCAGTATCTTTTCTGACAGGCCTGATACCGATTCCCATGGGGGATGTATGTGTGATCGTGAGTATAGACTGGCTAAGTCGATTCTGTGCCATGATCGACTGCGAGGGTCAGCAAGTTGTAGTTCGAACCCCAAGTGGGGGAGAACTGGTTGTATATGGTGAGGGCACCAAAGTAGGATCAGGTTTTTGTTTAGCTGCCAGGCTCGATAGTATGTTCAACATGGGTGTGCAGGTTATTTGGCATATGTGGTGGATACGCGGTTCAGGGACCAGACTCTAGTTTCAGAGGTCTCGGTGGTTAAAGAGTTTACTGATATATTCTCAGAGGGGTTACCAGAGATACCTATGGAGAGGCAGTTCGTGTTCCAGATCGACCTAGTTCCAGGTGTGGCTACTATTGCCCAAGGCGTCGTGCTGGTTGGCACCACCCGAGATGCAGGTTCTGTCATCACATTTGCAGGAAGTGCTGGGAAATCAGTTCATTCGACCTAGCAGTTCTCCATGGGGACCACCGAGACTTTCCTTTAGGAAGAAGCACTATTCGCACCGGATGTGCATTGATTATAGGGAATTGAACAAGTTGACGGTGAAGAACCGTTATCCACTCCCGCGGATAGATGATCTTTTCGATTAGTTGCAGGGTGCATCTTGGTTCTCTAAGATTAATTTGAGGTCGGGATATCATCAGGTTCGGGTTAGAGAGGAGGACGTTGAGAAGATCGCGTTTTGGACATGTTATGGTCATTACAAGTTCGTGGTGATGCCATTTGGGCTCACCAACTCACCATCAATATTCATGTACCTGATGAATCGGGTCTGCAGACCGATGCTTGATCTCACATTCATTGTGTTCATAGATGATATCTTGGTGTATTCCAATACCTGAGAGTAACACAAGGAGCACCTTAGGGAGTTGTTGGGAGTCATAAGACGAGAACGATTGTATGCCAAGTTCTCAAAGTGCGAGTTTTGGTTGCGAGAGGTCCAATTCCTAAGACATCTCGTTAACCGGGAGGTGATTTCGGTCAACCCGGCCAAAATCGAGGCAGTCATGCAGTGGGAGGTGCCGATGTCACCTTCAGACATCAGGAGTTTTCTAGTTTTAGTAGGGTACTACTGGAGGTTTATTCGGGATTTCTCTAAGATTTGCAGTACCCCTCACTCATCTGATGAGGAAAGGGGTGGATTTCCGGTGGGGTCCTGAGTAGCAGAGGGCGTTTGAGACCCTCCGTCAACATTTGTGTGAGGCTCCAGTCTTGACACTCCCGGAGGGAGTAGAGGATTGTTTGGTGTTCTGTGATGCATCCATCACAGGTTTGGGGGCGGTCGTCATGCAGAGAGGACGGGTGATATCCTATGCGTCGCGGAAGCTGACGCCGCATGAGACAAGATATCCTACTCACGATTTAGAGTTAGGAGCGGTGGTGTTCTCTCTCAAGATATGGAGACATTACTTATATGGTGTTCATTGTATTATATACATAGATCACAAGAGTTTAAGGCATATCATGGATCAGCTTAACCTGAACATGAGGCAGCGCAGGTGGCTGGATGTAGTCAGGACTACGATTGCGAGATCCTAAAGCACCCCAGTAAAGCGAATGTGGTTGCGGACGCTTTGAGCCGAAAGTCAGCTGGGTCTTCCACCCCAGCGATATGTGTGAGGATAGTGGTAGATTCCCCGTTTGTGAGTCTGATCAGAGACGCCCAGGTTAAGGAAATGTGATCGGAGAATTGGAAGCTAGAGAGGATCAAGTGTGAGAACAGCCAGCTTGGTACGTCGAGAGTTGTTTGACCTGTAGGATGGTCAAGGCCAAGCATCATAGACCGCATGGAAAGCTACAGCCTCTGGAGATTCCCATGTGGAAATGGAAACATACCACGATGGATATTGTTACCAAGTTGTCGAGGACGGAGAAGGGGTTTGATGATATATGGTTCATCGTGGATCGATTGACCAAGAGTGCCCATTTCTTGGCTATACAGGAGAGTTCATTGACCGAGAAGTTGGCCGATGTGTACGTCCGCGAGATTGTTGCTCACCACAGAGTCCCAGCCTCCATTGTCTTCGATCGAGAT